GCCTCCGGGTCCAAATAATAAGACAAAACCAAAGGTTTGGATAGTGAGTATTCCCAATTGCGCCTCAACAGACAATTCGTCTATCTATCTGACCAAAGCCGTTCTACACCTTCCATTTACTAACTCAGCATCTAGATATTCGGCGCCAGTGGCCATATGGGTCAGAGTCTCACACGAGCATGTCTTTCCAAAGGCGACGAAGTCGTTGCCGTCGGCCGGATCAACGAAAATACAATCGAGTCGATGCAAACCACATTCCCGCATCCAAACTGCTTCAACACACTTTGCGACGTGCGTGTACGAGAATCCGTATCGGCAGTTATAGAACAGGCACTTGAAAAATTCAAGCGCATCGATGTGATAGCCAATTGTTCGGGCTACGGCGTCATCGGCGCATGCGAAGACCAAGACGAGCACGAAATCCGCAATCAGTTCGAGACGAATTTCATGGGCACTGTACATATTATCCAACTGAGTCTACCATACTTTCGCGAGCAAGGAGCGGGGAGATACTTGATATTCAGTAGTACTTCAGGCGCATTAGGTGTTCCGGGCTTGGGACCATATTGCGCGACGAAGTATGCGGTGGAGGGAATGATCGAAGCGATGCTTTACGAAGTGGATGCTTTCAATATAAAAGCTACGTTGGTAGAACCGGGGTTGGTGAGGAGAGATGAGAAGGAATTGGCTTCGGGTCCGCTACCTACTTGGGGACACTTTTTGATTAAACCTCCCAGTGAACCATATTCCGACCCGACTTCGCCGGCGTTGCATGCGAAGAGAATGGTTCAGTGGCTGGGGGATAAACAACCTACTAGTGCTAAGAAATGCGCAGATTTGGTTTGGCAATTAGGTCATTGTTCCTACCCGCCTCTACGATTACTTTTGGGGAGTTACGCTATAGAGAGTATTAGGGATCGTTTGCGATCTATCATAGAAGAGTTGGAGGATTGGAAGCATCTACATCATCCTATAGCTCCCGTGGATGAGCTTGATAATGAAGAGGATTCAGACGATGCTCGAGATGTAGACGTGTCTGCTAAAACGAAAAAGGAGGACCGAGCTGCAAAGCGGGCTGCGGCGAATTCATCAAAAGTAGAGTCAGATGCAGATAGTAGTTCATGACCACACTCAGTAAGTTATCAATGATTGTAATAATATAATATTGGTACGCTTACTTGTGGCTGCGATGTGAACAAATGTCCCCAGAACCTCAGCATGTGGATATAGCGGCTAAAGTAAATCTCTGCTAGGTGCTTCTACTGAACGATCATATCAGCGAACAATAATGTTCACACTCAATTTCTTAAATCCCAAACGCCTTCCCATGCAATTTCATCATGACATTCTATGATGCTCTTTTTTATCTTACTTCCGGCCCTGGCGCTGCGGCCATCGCAATATCATTATTGATTGCGTCCGCTGTTTCCTCTCTTGGTTGTCTCTCGAACAATCTTCTCCAAAACATTGGTGGATCAAATGGACGATGTCCATTGTGTAGCGGTGGGTAAACGTCGCAAAAGAAGTACCAAACATGACCAATGACTACTCCCATCAATTCATCCTTTGGAACCGTCCCATGTAAAACTAAACTGAAGCCCATCAAAACCCAGGGTAAATATGGAGCCGTGAAAACTAGCAATCCAAGGAAACTCAATTGTGTATCGGGGTTTCGTCTCGACCAAATGTATACGAGAGTCGAGGATAATGGGTGTCCTAGAAATGGCATTGAGACCAGAGGATTTATGCAGATGAGACAAGTCATCGCATAGAGCAATAGCCACGAAAAATGCGCCGCAGATCGACCGGATGATTCCTCAAGGAGTCGCGAGTATCGGGTCAAGAAGAATACGTGGAAAACGAGATCCAGGGATAAAGGACCAAAGTATATAAAAGTAGTCAAGAGGCGCCAATACTATTTGTTCAAAGAGATCCAATCAGCGAGATTCCCAGATGCGAATGCGGATGCGCAACCATGGGAAAAGCAATCATACCTGCGACTTTACAAATACCGCTCGGAAGCTGTAGAATAACTGAAAGGGCGTGACGATTTGACATTGAACCAGCGCGCTGGTAATGACCGTCGCCGTCGTCCACCATCTGGTACACACGGGCATTTCCCAAAACCAAGTTTCGAGCGGAAACCCGGCGGCGCCCCCTTCCCCATTTCCCATCATTTGATCCATAATTGGATGTGTGAGGCTATTGATAGAAGTAATGCGACAGTAATGCGACTACGAGGCTCGGAATTTTGGGTTATGGGATAAATCGAGGAGCGCTTGCGTGATGGCGTTTGTTGGATATTTCGAAGTTTCGAAGTGAAGATATGGAGGAAATCTCGATACTTTTTTCTTGTGATACGAGGTAATGCGATTCTTGAATAGTTTAATTTGACAGAAAGATTTTTTTTGTTTTTTGTTTTTTTGGAATGGATGGTCGTGGGTTCGTATTTAGAATTTATCTGAGGCTCATGACGTTTCTTTGAACAAGTTGTCCTGTTCTCATAAGGTCTAACGATGACTACTAGCCTTTGACCCGCGGGACGATCTTAGATAAGGCAAGGCTGACAGTTTCAAGTCTCAGCCTTGGATATAGCCATCTTTCCTTTTTACCAGTTGGTCAAAGCGCGTAGGAATTGTAAATATGGTTGCCGTGGTTCCTAACCCTTCAATATTCAAGTCCAAACTAGACCAGACCAGAATTACCAATTGAACTAGGTACATTTCTCTCTCAACCCACCCATTGAAATTCCACGCGATTTCACCCCTCTCAAAATTGTCCGGCTCGGTCTATTCACCTTCAATTGGATCAGCTGTCCAACGATCAAGGACGCGCATCTTCGCGCAAAACCGCGTCGTCGAATCCATCCCGGCCACGACAATATCCATCCTCAAGAATCTCGCAAATTGAGCACCACTTTGCGCAATCACAGCAGAAAATACATTTCACCGACGAGCACCCCTAAAGCTTTGGATTGTAATCACATTCACAATGTCGCAAATGCAGAAGAAAAAGCAGCGTCTGTCACTGGACGACGAATCAGCAGCGGGTAGCCCAAGAGCAAACGCACCAGGCAGACCAGCAGGAAAATCTGTTGCGGGAAAGAGCATGAGTAAGAAGGCAAGAGATAGTGCTGTTAGAGGTAAGCCGATTTTGTTCCTACACCCATGGATTTGCGCGCGTGTGAAACGGATGAATAGTTCAACTTCTCTTCTGACATGAAGCTCGGGAGAAAATCACGGTGCATGTTAAACTCAACATACTGACTCAATTGATGTAATTAGCCGGAGATCCAATTCCTCAAGGGAAAAAGCGCCGTTATAAGCCTGGCACCCTAGCACTGAAGGAAATTCGCAAGTTCCAGAAGTCTACCGATCTGCTCCTTCTCAAACTTCCCTTCTCACGTTTGGTTCGTACTCATGCCCTAATCAACATTACAGAACCATATCTAACATGGTGCGAATCTAGGTCCGTGAAATCGCACTCTCGGTACGCCCTCAAGGTGAGGGGATGCGCTGGCAATCACAAGCTATTCAAGCGCTCCAAGAATCAGCCGAAGCATTTCTCGTCCATCTGTTCGAAGATACCAACTTGTGCGCTATTCATGCCAAGAGAGTCACAATTATGCAGAAGGATATACAACTGGCAAGACGTATTCGAGGTGCATGGGGTGGTTTGGGTTAGAATGACAAGTATATGCTTAAACGCTGTATGATTGTTGAATTCGCTTTGAAAATTTTGTCAGATTAGCTTGCCTGGATAGGGACGATTTCGTTATAGGGAAGGCGTATATGGTTACATGGCTCTCTACAAGTATGGGAGGAATTCGACTGATATGAGGACGTATAAAGCATTGATGGTCTATGCTAGATGAAGTAAATCTTTGCTTCTCTTTAACAGTAGACCTGGCGTGTTCAGCAAGGTAGTATGTATGTGCCTTAGGATTTCCTCAAGTCTATAAATTTAATTTAAAAGACGAAACAATTTTTTTTTTACCAATGCCTTTTCAGCTGTATGTAACAGTTGTTCCATCTTGCGCAGGTTCCAACAATCTCCAATCGCACTTGATATCATTCTTCGCAAAAGTATCTAAAATGACATTCGCAATTGCGTCAAAGTTTTCTGTTGCAAGCGCAAGAATAGTTGGACCGGCCCCAGATAAACAGATTCCACACAGACCGGGATGAGATTTAGGAGTGACCGATTGTAAGATCTCAGGGAGGCCTGGGATCAAACCTTTTCTGTAAGGTTGATGTACCTTGTCTTGCATTGCCAGATAGATTTGTTCTGCATCGGGTGGTGATCTTCCCAGCGCGGAAGGCAGGAGAGCAATTCTCTGCAGGTTGAATACGACATCGGACCTGGAATACGAGGAAGGCAGGACACTTCGCGCTTTTGCGGTTGCGACTTCGAATTGTGGGATGATGGCAATGGCTTTGATTTCGGGGGCCCAGGGAAACTTCATGTAATGCCCGATTCCCACGGGTGGTTCGGGCGGATTGGATCCCGTATCGACTCCTCCGGCGGGTTCGGGGAGCACTTCGCTGAGCGGAATCTCTTTGCGTTCTGTGTCTTCGGCGCTCAGTTCGTTGAGGTATGTGCCGACGAATCCTCCATACAATGCTGCGGCTACGTTGTCTGGATGGCGTTCTGCGCATCTCGTTAGATATATCGCGCGTGATGGACAATCCAACCGTACCTATCATGAGACAATAGTCCAACATCCTCGCCTTGGACAACTGCAGCTTCCCCACTTCATTCGCCAGCGCAACACCCGCTACCACTGCCGCCCCCGAAGATCCCAGTCCGCGTCCCAGCGGAATCGGATTGATAATGTGAACTGCCGTTTCGGACGGAAAGCTTCGCTGTCCATGACACCGCAACACATACAACGCCGTGCGCGTGATCAGATTGCTATCCGCAGTCAACGGCACCTCTTCTGCACCCTGTCCTTCATATGTGATTTTGCAATTGAGGGGCGCGCGAGACGTCACCGCGGTATGGACTTCGACGCGCAACTCGAGCCAGATGGAAAGCGCGAGCCCGATCACATCGAATCCGGGGCCAATGTTCGCAGAGGAACAGGGTACTTCTATATGGACGTCAGTTTCGAATCTCTTGCTACCATCGCGGGAAATAATATTGATTCTACTGTGACCGAGGGTTTGCGCGGCGGGGAGAAAATAGAGGTGACGGACTTATGGTAATCATTTTTTATTAATTGAGCCGGTTTGCAGAAAAGGCTCGAGATGGGAGGTGTCAATGAGAGATTCAGCTTGAAATACAAAGTGCTATCGAATCATTCGATAAACTTTACTGTTACCTTTTTTTATCAGCCTTGCCCGATATCGCTACTCGTATAAAATTGGAAAAATTCGGTATATCAACTAGGATTATAGTCAGAAAGGTCGAAATTGGAATAAAATAAATATGATTCGTTCGCTTGGATCAGATCATGCTCGGGCCGTGGTGAAGATCCATTTAAATTTCTTAGACATCTGTAACAGAATGACTAATCGGGGGTTCCCCTCATCTACAACAGGAGAGTCTTTCGTTATTAATAGAATTAATAGAATTAGAATTAGAATTAAATTTATATATTATATTGATACTAGCCGTCGGTGAAAGAGAACCTGAAGTCCACGAATTCGTACGATTTCAAAATTATTATAATATTTAATAAGAAAATTCTACGAATCCGTAGTCTGAAAAATCTTTTTCCCCAACGGCTAGTATAACATAAATTCCTCCCATCCCATGGCGATCCGCCTTCCCATTTTCTCCTTCTCCCTACCTAGGTATTTTTTAATTCCACGACTCCAAATTTCTCAACTCACAGCCTTCACCCGATCTCTTGATCAATTTTCCAATAGTATAAACCTTCTCACCCGACCCCTCCAATTCTCCCACAACCTGCTCTACATTCTCCTTCTTAACTACTGCTACCATTCCAATACCCGTGTTGAAGGCTCTAGCCATCTCACTAGCTTCGACATTACCTGCCTTCTTCAACCACTTGAACACATCCGGCAATTGCCAAGTAGCGACATCGATCTCGGCAGCTAGATGAGATGGCAACATTCTAGGAACATTTTCAGTCAAGCCACCACCAGTGATGTGGGCCAAGCCAGTGACCAAATGCTTCTGGACCACTGGTTTCAAAGAGCGGACGTAAATGCGGGTAGGTGTTAAAAGATTTTCACCAACGGTGGTGGAAGGATCCCATGGGCACTTGTCTTCTTTATAGGAGAGACCTTCTCTCGCAATAATTTTTCGCACGAGAGAGAATCCATTGGAGTGAACTCCCGCAGATGCCAAGCCAATAAGGACATCACCTTCTGCCATCAAATCTGTCCTTGGTAATCTGTTCTCCTTCTTTACAACTCCCATGGCGCAACCAGCAGCATCATAATCATCCCCTTGGTACATACCAGGCATCTCAGCAGTTTCACCACCAACGAGTGCACTGTTGGCATCTTTGCATCCGTTAGCAACACCTTCTACGAAGTCTGCTGCGTTCTTAAGCTTCAATTGACTGCAGCCATAGTAGTCGACGAATCCAAGTGGTTCAGCGCCTGCAACAATCAAATCGTTTACATTCATAGCGACCAAATCAATACCAACTGTGTCATGCTTCTCCATAGCTTGTGCAATGGCAAGTTTAGTGCCAATCCCATCAATGCACATAACTACAGTTGGGGCACCGGCATAACCAGCAGCTTCCAAATCAATCTCTCCACCGAACCCACCGATTTCAGCATCGGCTCCTGGTCTTCGGGTAGAAAGAACCGCTTTTCTAATACGTTCGACAAAGTTATTACCGGCATCAATGCTAACACCTGCAGATGCATATGTAAGTGCTTCCTTTGTAGCAGATGAAGATCTGAATGCCCGATGAGCAATATCCTTGCGGTAGAACATTTTATCAAACTTGATGAGATCGACAGTAGTATAAGCATCCTTTACGGCCTGCTCGAGAGTTTCTGCAACAGCTTGTGCTGCGATGACACGTCCACCAGATGTTTGTAACTGACCATCCTTCACCACGGTACCAGCATGGAATATATTGGAACCTGCCGGAGGTGTACTGACTTCCATGGCTGTGCCTTTGGCATATGAACCTGGGTATCCACCAGCAGCTACCACAACCGTCGCACTGAATTTTTGATCAATCTTGATCTTTGCTTCGTCGAGGGACCCCTGAGTACAGAGAAGCATGATTTCTGCAAGATCGGTATCTTCACTCAACAATGGTAACAAAGTCTGTGTTTCTGGATCACCGAAACGAACGTTGTACTCCAAGGTTTTTGGTCCGTTCTTGGTTATCATCAAGCCAGTGAAAAGAGTTCCGACGAAAGGTGTACGCTCTTTTCTCATGCCGCGAAGCGTGGGCTCCAATACGGTTCGCTCGATCTCTTCGATTAATTTTTGGGTAGCAATGGGGATAGGCGCATAGCATCCCATTCCTCCAGTATTTGGTCCCTGATCACCGTCGAAAATTCTCTTATGATCTTGAGCAGCAGGTAAAGAGTACATGTTGTAACCATCGCAGAAAGTGAGAATGCTGAGCTCATCACCCTCCAAGAATTCCTCGATAACAACCTCATCGCCAGCAGCCCCAAATTCTCGATCAAGCATGATATCCTTTAATCCTTGGTGGGCTTCCTCTTTCGATGTTGGGATGATAACACCCTTTCCAGCTGCCAATCCACTAGCTTTAATGACAACGTTATGGCTTACGCTATCAATGTATCTTCGCGCTTCTTCGTAGTCCGTAAAGTTCTCGTAAGCCGCAGTTGGAATGTTATACTTCTTCATGAAATCTTTCGAAAATGCTTTGCTCCCTTCCAAACGCGCAGCCAGTTTTGATGGTCCATAACAAGCTATGTCTGCCTCACGGAAGTAATCTTGGATTCCATCAACGAGGGGTGCTTCTGGTCCCGGTACTACCTACATGTAGACGTAAGTAATTGCTTAACAGAAATCGAGCATTGGAATGAAATTAAAAACCCCCAAACAAATGTAGAAAGGAGAAACGCACCAGGTTAACATTGTGTTTCTTGGCCAAAGCAACAAGTCCAGGATAATCATCAGCCTTCACACTGGAATCATTGGAAACCTTTGGGCAATTGGCCGTTCCTCCATTTCCTGGGACTGCGATGATCGACTCGACGCGGGGAGATTGACTGAGTTTCCAAGCCAAAGTATGTTCCCGACCACCATTTCCGACAAGGAGAATTCGAATGGGCTCCATGGTGAAATTCTAAAGTGCGTTGAGGTATTGAACGTGTGAGAAGACGCTTGGAGAACAAAAGAAGAGTCTTCAAATTCAATGTGATCATCGGGATGAATCATTTTCTGCCCGCTTAGTGTCACCGCCTGGCAAGAATTTTAACCCCGCTACTATCCTCCCCACATTACCCCTCCATGATTTAACCGATATCACTTGATGAATCTGAGTCTTTACTCCGTAGTACTAGGTATCGTATATTACTTGGTAGCTCATGGCAATGTTCCGAAACTATTCAATGTTAGATTCTATTTAAATTGAATTCACTCTTTCAATAGCTCTCAGGTGTTTAAAGCATTGAATAGACACCGAAGGAATTTTGAAACGATGCGAAAAGTTATGTGCTAGATGCTTTAACCGATATCCCTACTATGTGCACGGCCCTGCTATGTGCACGCTCTTATTATTTATATAAAATATTATATTAAATTGAATTAGAAATTAAAAAAGCAATGAAATCATTTGAAATTTAAAATTAAGATAAATTGACTAAATTAATATGACATTTTTAAATAAAAAATCTGAAATTCTGAAAATTTATAATAATAATATTAATAAATAAGATATTGAATTTTTATATAAGAAGTTATTTACTTATTAATATATCTTATAATAGAATCGGAAATATAAGTTTTATTTAAGGAAATTATGAATTCTTTTATATTATAATATAAAGTAATTGAAAAAATTAAACTTTTTTCTCAAAATTCTGAAATTATATCAATATTAAAATCTGATAGTTTTTAAAAAGAAAATTTATAAGAATTAATTATTAATAAAATAATGAATTTATAATATTTAATTTTGCTTTTGAATTATATAATAATACTAATCTTTAAATATAGAGAAATATATTAAGATTTATGATTTATTAATATTTTATTTAATTAAAGATTTAAAAATAAATACTAAGAATTTGATTTGATATAATATTAATTATAATATAAGCTTTTATTAATTATTATTGAAAATTTGATTTTCATAATCTTCAATTATATACATTCCATTTTAATATTAAAAAAAAAAGTTATATCAATTTATTTTGATTTAATAAATATTTTAAATATTTGAATTTTCAGGATTTATTAATATTAAAATGATTTTTGTTTAGATTTTCTTTTTTTAAAAATTGATTTAATAATATTTTAAATTACAAAAACTTTTTCTTGAAAAAACATATATTATAATAATAATTTTATAATTAGAATTTCATTATATATTATAAAATCAAGATTTAAACAATTTTAAAAATAGAATTTTAAAAATAAAAGATTTATTTAAAGAATTTCTTTCAATTAAACTAAAACTTATATATTTTAATTTTCAATATAATTTATTTCAAAAAGATTATAATATTCAAAACTTTAATATTCAATATAAATTTAAATTCGTTTTAAAACTTATTTTTTAATTTCTTTAAGATAATAAAAATAATTAGAAAATCTAATAATCTATATTAAAATCAATTCTTATCACTTTTTTGATTTTTTTGATCTCTTTATAAGAATATCAATATTAAAAAATCTATTAAAATATTTTTTCATTTTATAAATAGACTTTAATATATTCTTTATTAAAAACTTATATATTAAAATCATATATTCCTTTTCTTTTATTATTTAATCGATTTTTGTTTTAATAATTTAAAATTTTGAAGAATCAAAACGAATAATATTATTGAATTTTAGAAGTAAATTTTATCTTATTCTAATGATTTTTGAATTTTAAATTGATTTTTATTTTGATTGAAAAAAACGTGCATATAGTAGGGGCGTGCACGTAGCAGGGATATCGGTTATATTGTAATTTCTTGACCTTTTGTGGATTTATATTTTTGAGATGAGTTGAGAATCTCTAGATACCTAGATAGACCTGTCTTTCACGCCTCTATGCATACCATGCCATTTGATGTGATAGTATACCAAAAACTAACCTTTTTCTCTTTTCCCCTATTGTATTCATAGAAGTGATGTTATTTGCATAAACAAAGTACCACCCACACCTCCTTCCTTCCCTATCATTCACTCATTTCACTCTTCAAAATTCACCCAATTCATCAATCCAACCATCCATCTACCATCCCCTTCCCTGCATCTTCTCCTTGGGATCCATCGTCCCACAATTCAACCCCACCATTGCCTCTCCCAAATCCTCACTCACCTCCGCTAAGACCTTCGCATCATTAAAATGCGTCGTCGCCTGCACAATTGCTCTGGCGCGCTTCGCCGCATCTCCGCTCTTGAAAATTCCGCTCCCGACAAAAACTCCATCACAACCTAATTGCATCATGAGGGCCGCATCGGCGGGGGTAGCAATACCACCCGCTGCGAAATTGACCACAGGGAGACGGCCCAACTTTGCAGTTTCTTTGAGGAGTTCGAATGGAGCTTGGATATCTTTTGCGAGGATGCGCAACTCCTCGTCGGACATGAGTGAGGCGGCGCGGATCTCCGAGGTTACTTGGCGTTGGTGACGCACGGCTTCGATGACATCGCCGGTGCCGGCTTCGCCTTTGGTGCGGATCATGGCGGCGCCTTCGGAGATGCGGCGGAGGGCTTCGCCGAGGTTGCGGCAGCCGCAGACGAAGGGGATGGTGAAGGGGTGTTTTTCGACGTGGTGGAGGGCGTCGGCGGGGGTGAGCACTTCAGATTCGTCGATGTAGTCTACGCCGATTGATTGGAGGATCTAGGAGGGGTGGGGTGTTAAAGAGGTTTGAGAGAGAGGGGGGAGGAGATGGGAAAGAAAGAAGGAAGGTAGGGGACCTCGGGAATGAGAGGGAAATGAGAGGGAGAACTAACCTGACATTCAACAAAATGACCGATTCTCGCCTTGGCCATAACAGGTATCGTAACCGTGTCCATGATCTCTCGAATCATCTTTGGATCCGACATGCGGGCTACACCTCCCTGAGCACGAATATCGGCGGGAACTCGCTCGAGCGCCATGACTGCTACTGCGCCTGCTTCTTCTGCGATACGGGCCTGGAGGTGGGGAAGTTAGTGGCGGTTTTTGTAAAAAAAAAATCCATTTTGATTGATGATGGATAGAAGAGAGAGGGAACATCGTAAGTGACTCACTTGTTCGGCATTAACTACATCCATAATCACACCTCCTTTTAACATTCGCGCCAAGCCGGCCTTGACGACAAAGGTAGAAGAGGTATTGTTGCCATGTCTGTTTCCATTTCCATTGGTGGCGCTGGTGGGTAGTTCGTTGGACATTTTGTTTGTGTTGTTGAGTATTGGAGAGGAGAGAAGAGGAGAGGAGAAATGAAGTGTAGAGGTCTTTTTCCAAAGGGAGTGTAGTAGCTACAATAGAAAGAGATGAAGTATGTCGGTAAGTAAGTAAGTAGGTAAGAAGTGTAAGTTTTAAATGAAGAATCCAAAGAAGAAATCTATATCAAATATGTATGTATGTATTAGAGTAATAAGTAGGTAGGTAGGTATCTGTATATATATATATATATATACATATGTGAGGAGAGAAAAGAAATCCAAATGATTAAAATAGTTTTCCTTAGTAAAAGATCTAGTCTAGCATATGACTCTTCTCATTCCATTCTATTCACGTCAATCTATCTCAGTCTTGGTATAGAGTCAGATATCGTCTTTTGATAGGTCAATTGATCTGATGCATCCATCCCATGGCCATTAGTACCTAGGTAGGTAGGTAGTAGGTATATATTTTACTCATCGCATTCTCATGCCTCTCTTATTAATTCAAATTCAAAATCAAATTCATCTGCACCTCCCTACTACCTACCTAGGTACATAGATACTTGCCCCTCCGATCGGTAAGTAATGCCGAGACAAAGAAAAGATATAACTACCTAGGTAATTTATACTACCTAGATGGGACAAATCTACCTCTTGGTACATGTCGACACCTCTATAACCCTCCGATTCCCACATTCTGATTGGTGAGATGACACTCGATTAGAGGAGCGAGGTACAACGTGGGGTTATTTAAGGTTAAATTATATGCAGGGTTTCCATTTTATTTTCTTTTCTTCTACCGGTATTATCTTGGACGGAGATGGGGACTAGTACCCTTTTAGGCTAGAGCGGCGATCGAGGGGTATGCACTTTGGGCTGGGTAGATACGCTTGGGATCGGGGAAGGAGTTTGCGAGATTTTTGGGAATGTTGGGGTTGGGTGAGTTGGATGGATGGATGGGTATGATGGGTATGTATGTAATGTATGTAATGTATGTATGCCATTGTATGGAAAGATTCGGGATGTTGGATATCCGAAAAAGGAGGAAGAAGGAGTTTGCGAGGTGGATGAATAGATGAATAGATGAATGGACGGAGTTGGTTTGGATGCATAATAAATATATGTATGAATGTATGCAGTAATGGCCCGAGGAGATAGATGTAGATGTAGATGTAGATGTAATGATGAGATGATATACGCGATTTTATTAATATATTGTTGGGTTCGTGTTTGTTGGACATGTCATATCGTACCTATGGCCAGATGGCGGAAAGATGATTGACGGATACGAATAAGAGAATTTAGGATGTTTGGGAAAGTACCTAGGTACTAGGAAGGGAAAAGGTATAGGTACGAGGGAGGATATGGGTATTATCCGATGTGGTGGGTGTATCTGGTGTTTGAATCGGAGTTCGGAATCCTGATCTCGGGGTAATTATGAACCTTATTATCATCTGAGAATTGATATTAATACACGATGTGATATTTGATACCTACCTACGAGTAGTATATAAATGAATGTACTCGTACTTCTTCTATATATCATCTCTTCATCTCTTCATCTCTTCTTCCCTTTTTCTTCATGGTTTCGATCGATAAAACGACTGGACATTTCATCTCATGTATAGGTACCTAGCTAACAGATATACCGGTATGGATGGTCATCTATTACACAAAAACACAGATAGAGATAGAAATAAAAAATGTTCCTCTCTTATCCTTATCGATATCGTGACGTCACTGGATTGATTATCAGAAACATAGCATATCACACACAACATCAAATTGACTTTACGGGTCTGTCTATACTTCACTTCACTTCACTTCACTTCACTTCCCTTCATCAAACACACAAACACAATCACACAAGCAAGCAATCATCACTTACCACCTCCAACTACCCAATTACCCAATTACCCAATTCCCTCTCACCACCATCCATCCCATCAATTCACCCCTCCCAGCCTCCAACCACCCCCAACACCTCCCCAAAATGTCCCGCCTCCTCCTCCGTACTCCCCGCCTCACTGCTTCCGCACTAGGTCTCACCTCCTACACCTCCTACAGCCTCCTCCAATCGCACCGCTTTCCCGCTCGCTTGGATTCACTCTCGTCGCCGCTGTCGAAGAATGGAAGTGCGAATGCGCCGATTATTAAGAAGGGGGGTGGCTTGGATTCGAAGACTGTGAGTCAGATTAGTAGTGGGAGTATTGTTGGTATGTTTTCATCTTCTTTCTTTGCTTTTGGTTGTGGTTGTGGTGCTGGAGAAAAGGTGGGAGGGGAGAGAAAAATTAAATGATGAGGAGAGGCAAAATACAAAAAAGCGACGGAGACCCAATACAGAAAACAACATAACACACGCACAAGAATCCCACTAACAGCAAACTCCTCACAGGACTAGGAGCCGGTCTAGCTGTTAGTACATTTTCGCGTTCCCTCGCGCTGATAATCGGGTTAATGGTCGTGGGGATACAAGTACGTTTTTTCCCCCTTCTCTCCTTCGTCCCTCCTACCACCTACCTATCTTTTCTCTCTACTTCTCCATCCCTTCTTCGTCATCTACATCCACATCCATCCCTATATTTCCATCTTCTTCTCCCATCTCCCCTCCTAATAATCTCACCACCATCTAACATTTTCCCCCAGTGGGCCTCTTCCCACGGCCTCGACATCGTCCCTACAGATCGTATTCAGCGCTATATCAAACATGTGAATTTGCGCTCCCTCATGGAAGAAAACGTCGCGTTTAAAGTTTCTTTTGGTACCACGTTTGCTATGGCTGCTTTTATGCGATTTTAGATACATGTTGCTTCGGGATTTATATGTCTATTGTATATATGTATGTATGTATTATTCAAGAGCTTTACATATCAAGTCGAGGAATAGGATCGCAAAACGGGAGATGAGATACTGGAAAAAGGATTGGTCTATCTATTTTAAAATCGATTGAGGCGTTTCAATCCTGTACAATACAATACTATCTGGACTTAATTGTAGAATAGTTCCTCTCTTCGCGCCATCCAAATATTCATTCATCCACGTCCCGGTCATGTCCATCTACCCCTTCTTCCCAACCGCAACCTCAAGAAACATATGCAAAATTTGATCCTCGACACGCTAACCAGAATTCTCTCACCACCGAATTTGTTCCCCGTGCACCACGAAGACTTCACAAAGTTAGCTCACAACTTCACTCTTATAACAAACATCGGAATCAGCAAAACTTACTTCATAACCTTAGTCAAAAATACCATTTTCTCCTTCTGATCGACCTTATCACTCGGAAAGTTCCCATCCATCAACGCAGCTTCCAACCAACTCTTTGCTCGCACCTGACTCACAACCAGTTTTCGCAGCGGATCCGAAAGTTTGTCGAGTTCGCTGCGAGCGGCTGCGCCACCCATGTTGTAGATGAGGGCTTGGGCCAGGAGTGGTCCGAGATGTTGAAGAGCGTTGGTGATGGCTTGTTGGACGTGGGTATCGGGGTTGTTGGTAGGGAGGGAGACGAATGAGGCCTGGATTAGGGTTAGTCTTTGAGTTTTTGATTTTTTAATTAATTCGAGAGAGAGAATTAGAATGATTAGTAGGATGTAACTTACCCAAAATTCAGCGGCGCTTTGTTTAGGCAGGGGATCGCGGCCTGTGAGGGCTTTGAGGGTAAACATGAAAATGTGTTCGAGTGAGGATTTGGGCTCATGATTCAGGAGAATGTGGAGATTTTTGGGGGTGGAGATTAGACGGTGGAGGAACTCTATGCTTGGTTGCGAGATCTCTGGGTCATTGCTGGGCTCTGTAATTTGTTAGCATAAATTGTTCTCTTCCTTTTTGATAAATTGTGTTATGAAACTGCGAATTCGAACACAAGGACGTACCGTGATTTATAGCTTCCATCAATCCAGAGACCCATGTCAACAAGGCACTTGAAACCTGATTATTGCGCTCATCTAATGTTGTGTTACATGAATTAATGAGTGAGCAGGCGGTGTTGATGACTGTGATAACACGAGGTGTCTGATAATTTGATCTGAAGATGAATCTAAGTCATCGAGTTAGCATTGAAAAATCTTACCATAACATGCTAAGAAGCAACTTACTTGGCGACATCCTCAGGAGGGAAAGCAAATGGCCCATCAGTTTCAACCAAGCCCGTACGGAAAACATGTGAGATTTCCTCTGTTACCTCACCATGGCCAGGGAAAGCTTCGTTGGCTGCGGTAAGAATGTTCAGAACCTGTACTTGAATTCCTCTTCCATTGCCATTCTTCCAGTATGAATAATTATTTTCACTGGTGTTAAGATCAACAGGGGTATCAGCTGGTACTTGAAGACCCTTTCCGATACTTATCAGACATCGTATAGCAGTGAGTTCAACTTCGTCAGCAGCTACTTGGCCATCCGGCACTTGTGTATTTGAGGCCGCATTTGTGAATTGTGTGCTCAATAAATGAAGGCTTCGTTCGTGGTCCCTTTGAACAAATTCCAATAATTGTCTAAGAGGGTCCAGCTTTGATTCATCGTTCGGCATTGCTTCGATAATAGATGCAATAGCACCAATGACACCCTCTTTCGCATAACTTTCCACAGAGTTCTCTCGATTAATCTCACTATATTGCTGTAGAAACGCCGCAAGTTCAGGGACAAGTACTTTTCGGCACGATGAACAGAGCATCGCGATCGACTTTGATGTTACTCTGGCCAACGTTGGTGAATGCAGCATGCTGAACATAAGATTAAGGGCGCTCGGAAGATGTTGTGTATGACGTTCAAAGTACTCTGGATAGCCATTGATGACCATGAGGAACGCCTGCCTTGTGCGTGAAGGAACAGTTGAGTCAGACCTTGTAAGCATAGAGAAAAGTGGTGACCCAAAAACTTTGTCCAAGTATTCATCTGACTCCTCCTTTATATAGTCCTGAAACTCAGCTAAGCAGGTCAATGAGGCTTCGAGTTCACCCCAAGCATTTCCTTTCTCAACCGATTTCAAGATGAGGTCAACGAAGCTAGAAACAAGTGGTAATCCAAGTAACATGCATGATTGTTGTATTAAGTCTCCCACGTCTCTTCGGGCGTCTTTGAAGGCAGCGCGCTCATTTGAATCCCACGAACTGAATTCATGTTTGGGAGGGAATTGCATTTTTTGCCAGCATTTCTCGATTGCTTGCATCAGCACTGATCGCGCTGCTGGTAGCCAAGGAGGCGAAGCATCCACGTTGTATGATAAGTCGAGTACAGTTTCTAGATAGACAGCCCAGAATTCTACTGCTGGGACGAATATCTTGTCTTCATTGACGATATAACCATCAGCGCCAAGTAGTCCTACAAGAGCTGAAAGTATCTGCTGACTTCGAGAATCCGTCGAGATGTTTTGGGCTAGATCTTGTACCGTGGCATCGCCAAAGCTTAATAAGAATTGACCGAACTGCACTGAATCAAAGTCAAAATCGCCTTGGATCAATTTGGCATATCTTTCCTGTGCCCAAGAGCTACTGAAGAGATCGTAAAGCATCGTGAAGTCATTCTCGGAAAGAAAGGACGAGTAGTTGGCTAGAATGTCTGCAAACAGCTCCACGGTGATTTCATATAAATCATTATCGATGATTAGCATCAATGCAGGCTGAGTTAGAGTTCTTAAAGGATCAAGAACAATGGCAGCATCGAGAAATGCACGATGAGAGTAAAGAACCCATGACTATTCATGTTAGTATTGATTCTGAAAAGGGCGCCCAAATGATTCTTGAGGTGTTGAACATGCTTTGGCACAATTGAAGCTGTTTGGTTCTGTCCAAAAATCGAGCTATATGGGTCAATTCGAATAACCTGTTGATCTCATAAGGCTTTCAAATGCGATCCAAGGAACAGCCTTTAGATACTTCAGCATACCTTGGCCATTCAATATATTACTTGTGCAATGGCGATGCCTACGGCGATGCAAATGGCTGTAGTGAAGAAAAATCGAAGACTAACCTGAAAACATTTCATTGATTCCTGGCGAACCTTTGTGTTTATAGGAACCCCTGTTGTGTTTACAATGCCCTTTGTCAATATAGTCACAATGTCTTCAACATTCTGAACCACATATTCGTGAAATTTATGTCTAAGGAATATTAGCAACTGGCTTGATTGTAGAGAAGAGATGTACCCACTGCTTCATTGAATTTGAATCTGTTTTTCCAACTTCTTCTACCAAGGTAGCTGAGAACCACAGTATCGCCAGACTTTTGTCATCTGGTAGATTCTGTGCAAGGACCGCCATAGTAGGAGCATCCTCGATTTTATGATAAGGAACGGCCTCGCCAAGGCAAAGGCAGTATGTGAGATGAGAAATGCAACGAGCCCAAGAGCCAGAGAAATGAAGGAAATAAGTGACCAATGTTGTGCATAGTTTTCTGACGACAAGTGGTCCGCAGCCGGAATTCAAACATTTAATAAGCCATCCAATGATCTGTTGTAGCACAATTTGTGCATCATCATCCTTTAGAGATTGTCTAGAATGAAGACATCAGTAAAAGTCAACAAGAAACTGAAAAAAATTAGGGGCCAGCCTACGTACGAATCTGTGTTGAGTTTGATAGTGAATGTTAATGCCCCAAAGAATTTGACATTTTCCGAGTTGCTGCCCAGTAGGCCATTGGCCAGCTCCCAACCAGCAGGAGAACGCTGTAGCTTTTGAAGAGTTTCTTGAATTTTCGAAACCTGTTGAGGAGGACCAGCCTTGTATAGTTGATGAACGAGCTATAGTCCAATCAGCAAGTCTTCTAGATTACATATCGAACATTACAAGGTGGTTGCGTGTTTGCTAGTAAAAGATATCTTGACTGATCTCGTGACATTCCATTTTCAGCAAAATTTTGTTAAACAAAATATCCATCGTCTTCAAGCCACTTCACTATCATAAGTCATTATGGGAAAAGATGAACTTACAGCTTCTACCTCATCAAGTGATGAAGGTAACGTTTCGGTCGCCATATCCTTTTGAAAGGGTATCGTTTGTGTACCAATCAAGCAAAAACGGAAGCACACGCGATCTAAAAGTAAGACGGATTAGGAGGAAGCTTGAACTTGATACATGACCGTAGCCAAAAGATATCGAGGTTATAATTTCGAGTGATTCTTCAAATCAGATTCTGGGGATCTATGATGTGGAAGGGAAAGAAATCTGCAAGATTTTATGCTGTAAATTGTTTGTTTTGTTATGGCCGGTGAATCTTTGGGTCAGCCTTTTTGATAGCGGTAGCAAGCAGGCCATCACAAGCCTTGCAAAGTGTGCAAAGTGGATAGAAAACAATTGATTGATCCTCGCTATTAAAGACAATTAATGTTGGTTATGTTTTATCACTTCTTGGTCTGGTAGAATAAAGAGAGAAATCTCAAGAAGCGTCTACAGCTGGAACATTTTATTTTGGGGAATATTGTAGCAATTTTGAACCTGCAATCTATCTTATGTTGTTGTAGGTTGAGTCGCTTCCATTTGGAAATTTGGTGGTGTTGGGTTGTTTGTCACGTGGTTGTTCGATAAGATATTGTTAACCCCACCTCAGCCCACCAGTAGCCTCGGGGTGGTAGCCTCACCAGATGATTCCATGACTAAATGTTCTACATGTCTACTTGTAGCACATCAAATGGTACAGTGAAGAATACACTCATTGGAATCATTCGTACACAAGAGGCTCAAACAGTTTATTCCAATAAAGAAAGATAGTACTCGAGTAAGTAGATATTCAACAATCAAATTACAAAGACTGTTGTGTTACCTAATAAGTTTCTTGACTCCGATCTACAAATTTCATACCTTCTTTCAC